TGTAGCAACATGAGGGTAGGGGTTCCTTTCTTTAAATGATCAAAATGTTTGGGAAAATGTTAAATTTATTCAGCATGGTGTTCACCAATTACAAATAATGACATTTAAAGCACAGTGATGTCATAATACAACGGTTCATTAGTCACAAATTCAAATTCAAACTCACCTGATAATAAACGGATTTGCGTTTGGTGGCCCAATTTCATACTTCACTTGGACTCCCAGCCACACGAACGTATGCTACCATGAAGAAAATATAAAAGGAGTATAGTATGGGAGGCAAGAACTCCACAAGTCACGGTGGAAGAATTTGCTGAGAGTGTTTGACCTGACAGACGTGAAAAGTGCATAACATGCAAAGGCCTATATTTTGAAAAAATGTGAAATTGGACACTGTGCAATAAACATCCATTATATCTAGGATGTGCTCCTAGTAATTTAGTATCTCAAAATGTATTTTAGAGCATACTTCTTATATCTACACAAAAGGGTATTTGTTGATCGACTATTTCAAATTTTCAATTTTTTATTTCTTTTGACGAAACTATAACCTGTCCCACCCTACCCAAACTCCCCAACTTGATTTTATTATAACATAAACATATCAACACAGCAAATTAACAATACCTGTACACACATGTCCATCACAGGGCAATCTCATTTTAAATTTTTAGGAAAATATAGTTTCTCACAGAAGAACATCATTGTAGCATGCTATAGTGTATTTATTGCATCAATATTCGTAACATTAATATCTTCGGTTTTTACCCCACGGAGTAAGTTAAACCGAACATAAACAAAACCAGTTACAACAAATGGTACCTACTATCCCACATATAATTGACTGTCTTACACAACAAATATGTAAGATGCTTCAAACTGTATTCGACACGATCAAATATAAATTTGGCAAGTATTTTTAATATGTGCGATGCCAAGTGCCATTCGTATTGGGTAAACATATTCATTTGTGGTAAACATATTCATTTGTGGTAAACATATTCATTTGTGGGGTAAGTCACGTGACTTACCGAATGATTTTATATAAACCAATGTTCACTGTTTTGATGTGGGGTAAGTCACGTGACTTCGGTCAAATGACTTGCGCCATCTATATATCCAAAGAGCTCTGGTGTGATTCTCCAATCGAGAACACGTATCTTATGTTAAGAAAGGATCGCTTGTAGCCTCATGCCTGTTGCAATGATCTAATAACTTCTCAATTTCCTCTCTGAATTGTGAATATGAATCGTGTTCAAATTCTTTTTCCTCGCTTGTTTCATCCATTTTGAAATAATTTCTACGTCATTGGTCACGTGACTTACCGAATGGTTTTATGCTACATGCAGCATGTGTCATTTATGTGGGGTAAGTCACGTGACTTACCCCACATGATTTTATGCGAAAGTACGTGTCATTAATTATGTGGGGTAAGTCACTATATGTCCGTGCTATTTTGTACTTTATGATTGTTCGGTAAATGAACATTGTTTGGTTCTAAAGTGTATTTGTATTTGATGCGTGTTCTAAATATATGCGTCAACCGTCTTTGTTCGTGTGTGTACATGGACTTAAATATGTGATATTTTACCAAACACCGAATAACATGAACCGCATATACAAGTGCATTTACCGCATATATAGGTACATAAATCAAATATAAATGTGTAAAAATCATTTTAATAGAGTGGAATATCGAATGAATGTAATCAAATACAAAAGTGTTAAAATCGAATAAAGATGCAGAAAAAATTCCATAGCATGCAACATCGACCCAATTGAACTTAATAGGAATTGCTTTGTTCGGCAAAATTTCCGGGAGGTGAATACGATTTTCATGAGCGGGAGTTGGCGGGATGATACGTCTTTTCAATATCAAGAATATTCTCGGGTGTTATATTACTGGTTGAGAATTAATAAATGTTCTAGATAAATGCAAGGAGGATTGGCTCCCAGGAACTCAACTCGATATTTTCCAACAATGAAAATTCTGAAGTTTACAAAATGGCGGCTGTTTGAATTCGACCCATCAATACATCTCCATATTAGGCAAAGTTTAGAGTTGGAACCCTTGGAGCCAAGCCTCCTTGAGGTAAATACAAAAGAAAAACATTCAGTGACGCGACCTACATTCTTCTACTTTTAAAAGGAGGTTATACAACTGTCTTAATTTTCAAAATTGTAGAAAATTATTAATCTTTAATTTATAATCAAGGTACATATTCGATGTAAGCATAAAAAGTGACTAAATATCAACCCAATAATATGTGGCGTTTAGCAATTAAAGGCCCACTTTGGGAATTTTCAACATTTTTTGGCAAAATAAAAACCTACATCTAAGTTTCATAGTATGGCCAATGTATTGATAAGAACCTTACATTTCATTTGACACCAACAACAGCTCAAATGGACCACATCAAAGCTTACAATAGATTATCAAAAAATATTTTTGATCTGTCAAGCTTTATATATCAAGTTTTTATCAATGTCATTGAAAGATGGCGAAGTTGTTTGTATTTCCTGATTCATTCATTTTTATAGAAGTGTCGCCATCTTTTAAATCAATAGTAATTTAAAGCATGCACTTTGTTTAACATGTGTTGATGCATGTCTAATGATATCTGAACTTCAAATGCTTTTTTCTATGTGGGTTATTTTTTTCTTGGTCCAATATTAAAGCAAATCAAACTTTGTGTCATATTTGAGCAAATGTGTGAGTAACATGTTTCAATGATTATTTTTTAAGTATAGTGTGCCTTTAAGTTGGAGGTTATGATGCGTCATGATGGATACCGTCAATCAGATCATGATATCCGAAAAGCGTGGACCATGTTTGGAATGAGTTATATAGTATAATAGTTGATTAACACGAGACTCTATTACCGTCTGAATATCAGACACTACCTAAAAATAGAGATTAGCATACTTTGCTCGAGAAAGTTAATAGACAGATTTGGCACATAAGTGAAAGTACAACTTATACGTATACGTATAGTTTTAAGGGTCATGTCGAACTATTATATTTACTAAAATCAATTTTAAATTGTACTTAATGGAACATAACTATTCCCGATATAGAAAAGCTCCATCAACCAGAGACTGTGAATGCACAGTCATCTGCACGTGTGATTATGCACATTTTAATTAAATGCTTGCTTCCGTGTCTTAGTAGTTGTAGTGTATTATAAACACGATCCTTTAAAGTGAGTCATGATCCTTTAAAGTGAGTCATTACATAAACAAGTTGATTATTTCAAAGTTTTCATGATCAGTATAAGTTCAATGAACTTAAAAAATTGTATATACCCGTAGTTGATAACACCCCAGTCACATTTCCTACGGCGACCTTGCGGTCTATCATTTCTGCGGCCAGTAACATTTCTGCGCTCGCCGTGGAATTTCTGCGCTCTCATACTTTTGCAGTCACATTTCCCATGATATTTCCCAAGGCGAGCGTAGTTTTCCTACGCTCGCCGCAGAAATACACTGATTTAATTGATCTGCGGTCGACGCACGGCCTCCGTACGACAAATGTGACTGGGGTGTAAACGTATACAGATTGATCTCCATATAAAGATCTACACCTCAGTCACATTTGTCGCACGGCGGCCGCAAGTCGACCGCAGAACAATTAAATCGGTGAATTTCTGCGGCGAGCGTAGAAAAACTACGCTCGCCTTGCGGCCTCCGTACGGCGTATGCAGATTTTTACAGGCCCCAGGGAAGGCGTAGAAATTATAACTCGGAGTTATAATATTTGTTCATTTCTGAGGTCCCCGTAGAAATCAACTGGCTCAACAAGATTGAATCATTATTTGTCAATGTTTCACGATCACTTTTCATTTGATATTACATCCTAGCACTTTGAATAACATTTATAAATTGTCCTGATGTAAATAAAATGAAAAAAACTATTATTTATCAATATAAATTTAAAATTCACCGTGCGGCTGCCGTGGGAAATGTGACTGCAAAAGTATGAGAGCGCTGAAATTCTGCGGCGAGCGTAGAAAAGCTACTGGCCGCAGAAATGATAGACCGCAAGGTCGCCGTAGGAAATGTGACTGGGGTGTTACCTACATGTGTGTGGAACAATTGACCGCAAGCATTTTTTAAAATTAATTGGCTGAGTAGGAACAGTATCCAATCAAATACTTTAACCATCAATTTGAAACACCAATCAAACCAGTAGGTTCTAGCAATTTCTGGGAACGACCCATTCAGTAGCTCAACAAATGACATACAGGGTGTTTCATAACGAGCATCTCCAAAAAGTCAATTTGAGAAGAGATGGGTCTATATGTATGTACTATATATGAGTCTATTTTATTCTAGACAAACACATTTGGATCAACTAAACATGCTACAATTCAAGAAAGTACAAATGGCATCCTTTTGACCTTTATTTATTACAGTTCGAGAAGATCTTTCCTGACGAAAAGCCCACATTATGAAACACCTTACGTTTTCTTATAAGTATAAGTATACGTTATAAGTTGTATTTTACGTATGTGCGAAATCTCTCTAATGTTTTAAGTTTTGAGGTGGAGAGGGGGGTCAACCTCAAATGAAATAACGCGTATTGATATGCTCCCTTACAACACAGTGCAATAAATTACTTGTAGTCTCAATATATTAATCATATTTGAGAGCAACAAGATAATGGCAACACGATGTTCCGATTTGTCGCTAATGCAAGCCTGATATTGGCGCTTATGCACTTTTTATTCGTATGCCCCCAATACCAAAAGCACGGCTACCAAATCAAGGATAAAACGCAGAGAGAAACAACAAGGCATGGTGCAGAGCTCAACATTTTAAAAAATTATTCTGAAGAACGCAAAACGCTATTTTCACACGATGCGAAATCTGATATTTATTTCCCTGCTTTGAGAGAAAAGAGGGAAATTCAAAACGAAGCATGTGAGTCGGTTGACATAGATTTCAATTGTAATGACACAAAAAGATCTTGCCGGGAGCGTTGTGGTGAAAAAGTAACAATGGAAAATGCGACGAGCTTTGTCTGTCACTGTGATGAGTTATGTCAACATTACGGCGACTGTTGTAAAGATTATGGACAACAATGCCGAGGTTGTAATGCTACTGAACGAGGTGTCGACACGAACCAGACCTTCATTGATATCGGTGATGAAAGGTGCGCCCCTCTTTCTGTTCATGACACACAACGCTCAGACTACCAATGCATGCGTGTTCAAAGAACCGGTCGTGTGTTCCTGAAAGCCAGTTGTCACACTAACTTTAAGGGGTCTGCATTGGAGAAAAAGTGCTTCGGTGACGGTGAACCATTCTCAAATATTCCCTGTTACGATGTCATTAAAGGTACACACTACAAGAACAAATATTGCGCCGAGTGTGATTACGTTAAAGCAGTGAAGTTTTGGAGACCTAAAATCGAATGCCTTTATGGTAATCACTTTAATAAATTAAAAGTTGGAAGCTTAAACATCCCTAGAATCATAGAATTGATTGAGGATTCGGGAGATATTGGTAGTGGGTGTAGATACGAATATTTGGAACCACTGTTGGACACATACGATCGCGAGAATATTCGGGGGTCTCCGCGTCCTTGCTTTAGCACGAATTCGGAGTGTGGATTGTGTAAGGACTCACGTCTGGAAGCACTTTGCCATTCCCATGGTTTAGATCCAATTCAAGAAATCAATGTTTTTCATAATATTTACTGTTGGAAATGTAATCCGCAGTTACATTATGCATCAAACTCGCAACTATACCCTGATCTATGTCGATTGGTCGATAGCTCCGACGGAAAGTTTTTTTTACCTGAGGATTTACCACTTGTTTCATTTCAAATTTTAATGGACGCTACGGGAGACACCATCAACGTGAGAACTGTTCCGAATGAACAACATACGAGGATAGCTGAAGTGGAACTTGTTTGTTCTGATGACCTGGTTAAATGCCGATTGAAACGATGCCTTGGCAATTTGAAACTCGATGGGGATCAATGTATTATTCGTGACATTCTTGTGAAAGTGGCGATCAGTTGTAGTATGCCGACAAGGGCAAATTCTAATTTCATCTCGGCTTACATCAATTCACAAATACTATTTGAACTTTTCCCACCACTTCACGTTGTTTCCGATCATACAACCTTTAAGATAGAAGGCAATTGGATAACCAATACGTTCAAATTCGATGTTTTGTTTCAAGACAAACCAAATGTTTTGGAAACAATCAACAAAACAATGGCGAACAGCATTGGTCAGTTGGAGGAGAAATTGAACAACTTTCTTCTTTTGAACAATATGTCTAATGACGCAGTTCTCGGTGGCATCGAGTACAATGTCGTCTCAGTTCCCGAGAGGGCAGATTCTACGGTGGCCCAAAATAGATCAACAGGGACAGTTAGAGCAGTGACCGCAGGTACAAAGTCAGCACACAACTCGGCTGGCACATTCATATTACCGATGTTGATGTGGTTTTTGATTTTCAGAATCATTATTCACGTGCGGATGAATATGACTTGAGATATAGAGATAGACAGAGATATTAAGATATGGACTGAGATATTAGGATATAGATTGAGATATTAAGATATAGACAGAGATATTAAGATATAGACTGAGATATTAAGATCTAGACAGAATTATTTAGATGTAGACAGAGATATTAGATATATTAAAATATAGACATAGATATCAAGATATAGGCAGAGATATTAAGATATAGACAGAGATATCAAGATATAGGCAGAGATAGTGAGTAATTTGAATCTGATTTTTTCAAATGAATGTTAATACAGTAGAACCTGTGTAAGTGGAACGCCCTCAGTTCTGCCACTTAGGATGTGTTCCACTTACGGAGGTTTGGGTTCTTAATCCTCCTCATTCTGCCAGTCTTTGGCACAAAGATTTGGCAATTAAGTTTAAGACTTGTTACTAATAATTCATTTGTTTTAACTGACATTCTTAATCTTACCTATCAAGTTTGAAACAACACATGTCCATCTCTACAGGATGTTAATCCAATTTGCTGAATGATTATCTTATGAAATCCTAATTTACTGATTATCCGTTTTGCCCCACTCCCAACATTATTTTTGACCATTGAAAAATCACAGAAGATAGTCCTAGACAAGTATAAAAGATTCGAAAATGTAGACCACAACCCATTAATAAAATGGAACATCAAAGTGCGCGATGATTGACAGATAAGAAAATACCACGTATGGAAGAACTTAAAATCTAATTTTTAGGGCCGTTTTGCCCCATGTTCCCTTACGTGAAATGAAGGTTGGCGTTTTTTTAAATATGTACTTATACATGTACGTACATATGTACGTATAGCAATGTATTGGTATTGTGAAATAAGTATCTCTACCAATCATTCAAACATGACCGTGCTCTATTCGAATTTCTCAACCAATCAGAATGCAGCATAGCCAATATAGAACGTTCTCTAATTCTCCATAGATGCACGACCATGCTCTATTCAATCTGCAATTTGCATTGTTTTGAGTGACGTCACATCTCAGCTGCACATCTGGGGCTCTGTCCGGGGATAGCTGTTCGTTTTTACTCCCTCCGTAACTACTGTAACTATTTAACTATGACTTCAAGTTTGCAGTCGCATACACCGTATAAAATCTAAAACGGGGAGTAAAATAGAACAGCCCAAACAAATTCTAAAATTTTTCCGGCCGACTTCAGAATCTTGACAGCATGCGTATTCTTCCTTCATGCCCGTTCCACAGACACGGCTTTTACTAATTTTTATGTTTGAATCGGAATAAATAATGATAGGCCATTCAATATGGTGAAATTCAGTTGGACAGAATGTTAGTACAAATGCACTCACCTTCGGTTCGTGCTTTGTACAACATTCTGTCCAACTCCTGCTGAATTTCACCATATTGAATGGCCTATTATTATTTATTCCTTAATTAGATGATGTACCATGTCAGTCGTTTGTTTCTTTAATATGCTCCCCTCTCTCGTGAAATAAAAAATTTCCTTATTTCACTCATTTTTTGATATTATTGCACAGGTTTTCCAAGTTTTTCAAGGTTGTCTTTTTTTTTTTTTTTTTTTTTTTAATATATTTATTTATTCACAGTAAAACATTTTGTTTACAGTATATTTGATTTCTTAGTCACTTATATAAATACATAATACTTATTGATTATGAATGGTACGGGGGCACCAGTATTATATGAAAAATAAAAATAGCTTAAAATGTGAGTGGTCTTCAGTTTTCTCATTTTTTTGTATACATCCTGAGTTTTGTCCATAGAATGTCATGTGTTTTATTTTTTGCGCATGTACTTTCTATAAGTTCATCATTTGTTGCATAGTTTCTCCATTCTGTCATGTTGGGGCGGTTCTTTTTCATTTTACACTTGTAGATATATGTTTTTTGTTTCAGGTGCAGTAAGATGTCTTCAGGTTGGCTGTTTGTTCCAAGAAGAAAACTATCTCGTTTCGGGATATCTTCTTTCAATATACTGCTGCATTGTTTTAGGAATTCTTTTACAACTACGCAGTCATATAATCCATGTTCTATCGTGTCCAGTTCCTCCTTACACAGATCGCAGATTGGGGAAGATACGTTGGGTATCTTCATTTCAAATAAGCCTTTGTTGAAGTATATGATTCTCGATATGAGCTTGTATTGGAAACAAATATGTCTGATGTTAACTGTTAGTTTCCTTGTGTTTAGGTATATTTTTTTCCAGGTTATATTCCGGTTTTGTAGCTTTTCTTCCCACTTCTCCTGTGTCGTTATTGCTGGGTTTAGTATATTGTTCTTTTTTAGTAGGTATTTGTATGTCATCTTGTTTGGTGACTTTGTGAACCATTCCTTAATGCTTGGCTCCGAGTCTTGTGTACTTTTGTCCTTCATTCGATCTTTCCATTCTTGTGGTATTGCTGATGTCACTTTTATGACATCCAGAAAACATATGGTTTGAAAGTTGTACTTTCTGATGATCTGTTCTCTTGACATTGGTTTATCTTTATCGAATATATCTTGAATGGTGTGAATACCATGTTCTTGCCATGTTTTGAAATTCATCACCTGTCCACCTGATTTTATACAGTCATTGTTCCATATGTTGGATTCTTTGGGGCATTTTATTTGTCTTGTTGATTCAAACTTTAGGTTACACCAGTTTTTGTAGCAGTGCATTAAGGAATTCAGTTGGAGCCTATTTATCTCTTTGTTGTCTTCTTTGAGATTATACTCCCATATTTTTTCTTCATTTAAGTTCTTGATATAATTTTTCCATATGTTTTTCCATTTCCCTTTACAGTTTTCATCCATTAGTTTCTTGATCCATTTAAGGTTTAAGTTGCGTATATATGTTTTAATATGAATCATTTCGAGGCCTCCCTCTTCATATGAGTTCATAAGGACCCTTCTTTTAATTTTGTCTGGTTTATTGCTCCAAATGAATTTAAAGAGGATATCTTCAATTTCCTTGATAGTGTTTTCTGGTGGGTTGAGTATGGAGGACATGTATGTAATCTGTGCAATAAGCAGGGCCTTTGTAACAGCTATCTTTCCTATAATGGTTATGTTCCTTGGGGTCCAACTTTTTATAATGTTATTTATTCTCAGAATGGCTTTTGGAAAATTCAGATCGTTAATATCTCTCCCGTCCAGCGGTATAGTAATTCCCAGAACATTTATTTCATCTCTCTTGATGGCAAGATTCAAGGTGTGACAGTCTTCTTCCGTTTTGTCTTGATCTACGTTGCTTCCAATTGTTGCTATTTCTGTTTTGGTGACATTGATGTTAAGTCCGGAACAAGCTCCGAAAGTTTTAAAGATATCTAGTGCTTTTTTAGTGATTGGGTGTTTTTTAGCAAGAGGCATGTGTCATCCGCATATTGCGATATCTTTGCTTGTTCTCCTGGTATGTTCACTCCTTCTATGTCCTTGTTAACGCGAATATTTGTTCCTAGAATTTCAACACAAATTATGAAAAGGTAAGGGCTAAGTGGGCACCCTTGCCTCACTCCTCTTTCTAGAGAAAAGTAGTTTGATGAGTAGCCATTGTTCATGATGCAACTTTCTATTGATTTGTAAAAAGTTTGAATCCATTTTATTATTGAGGGGCCAAATCCAAAGTATGAAAGTGTTTTTTCTATAAAAGACCATTCTAGAGTATCGAAGGCTTTTTCAAAGTCAATGAAAGCTAGTATCCCAGGTTGGTTTGTCTTCTTTAGGTGTTCCATTGTGTCTATGATTAAGCGGATGTTTTCCCCTATGTATCGTCCTTTTATAAACCCAGTTTGGTCTTCTTGTATGATGTGTTTTAAAGTTTGCTTGATCCTTTCTGCTATACATTTTGTGGCTATTTTGTAGTCGGAGTTTAGTAAGGAGATTGGCCTCCAATTTTTTAGCTGTTTATGATCTCTGTCCTTCTTTGGAAGGAGGGTTATGATACCTCTTCTTTGTTCGTTTGATAATTCCCCGTTTTGATATGCTGTATTTAAGCTGTTTACAAGTAAGGTTATTACTTCATCTACCAGGGCTTTGTAAAATTCATTTGTGAGGCCATCTGACCCCGGTTGTCTGATATTCTCACTTATGACGAAATCTTTCTATTTTCTATTTCTAAAAATTATTCGACTTAATTGTAGAGTAAATAAATTTCTAACTGCTAAAATATTGTATTATCATCTGTATTATCTAGATAAATCTATATTTTTTAAAACCTAAAGTATCAATATCGTGAACCTTTTGAACACACATGTCTCAGTCATAAAAAATAATGTATATAGATATATTGAGATTATCCTATATGAGGTTCAGGATATTGGGATTATCCCGAGGCCAATATAATATCACTGCCCGAGGGCCATAGGTCCCGAGGAACCGACCGAACCGACTATAGGATGATCTGTGTATCCCATGCTTATCACATTGTTCAATTGGCCAAAGCTGGAAAATTTGCAACCATCCGTGGAATTATTTTAAAATATTCATGTCCAGTTTTGTATTCTTGTCCGTAGCCGGGTTTTCCTGTTCAAATCTTTGATAATTAACGTGGCATACTGCTCCTTCCCTTCGTTAATGCATCAAACAGATCGCGTTGTCTGCGTTTTTCTCCATTGTCGTTTACAGTATGCGAACGTTACAGAAAAGAACCAATACGGGAACAGCGATTATGACGTAGCGGGCAGATACACTATATCTGCCCGCTCGGAGCGGAACGTAAAGCTATATCTGCCCGCTGATGAAAATATTTATAAGTTTTTACAAACCGGCTTTATGTACCCGTAACACGTCCAAGTATGGGATAATATCCTATATGAGGTTCGGGATATTGGGATTAACAAATATACAGATATTGGGATGAGCAAATATAATATAGCTGCCCGAGGGCCGCAGGTCCCGAGGGAAAATATATTATATTGGCCATGTTTATCCCATACCAATCTTGGTCATCTGGTTCACATTGTTCAATTGTGGAAATATTGTAAAATATTCATGTCCAGTTTTGTTTACTTGGCCGTGGGCGGATTTTCCTGTTCTCTCAAATATTCCCATATTTATTTTCTTGAATTTCTGATTGATTAAGTGGATGCTCCTTCCTTTTTAAACCATCAAACAGATCCCGATTGTCTGTGTTTTCTCCATTGTCGTTTACAGCCATTACGTGAACGTTACAAATTAAGAACAAATATGCGAGCGGCGATTATGACGTAGTGGGCAGATTTACTATATCTGCCCGCTCGAATTGCGGGACGTAAAGCTCTATCTGCCCGCTGATGAAAATATAAGTTCTTACAAACCAGTGTAAAAGAAATTATGGTCCCCTGGGGATTATGGTCCCCTTTCTTAAAGGCCCTTACTGGCCCCGATTGTGGATACAATA